TGTCTATTTGACAGATAGCTTTTAAACCATTTAAGGTTCGAGTGTTTAATACTGTGGTTTTTTAATTTGGTTAATAAAATATGATGATTTACAGTGTCAAAAGCCTTGCTGAGATCAATAAATACGCCTAAAGTATATTTATTTTCATTTAATGATATAAGAATATCATGAACAAGATGAACAATCGTCTGTTCAGTAGAGTTACACTTTTTGAATCCAAATTGTTTATTATAAAGAATGTTATTAATATCTAAGAAATAGTACAGTCTTTTATACATAATATGTTCTAATATTTTTGAAACGTATGGTAGTATTGAAGTAGGTCCATAATTTGCAATACATGTTGCATCTCCAGATTTTAGAACCGGCATCACCCTTGCAATTTTTAGTTTATCAGGAGGAATTCTATGTTCTAATGAAAGCTTGAAAATGTGCAGAAGCGGAGTTTTTAAATACAAAATATTTAATTATTATATCACTACTTATATCATCAACTCCATTACTTTTATTTGGTTTTTATAAATTTACAGCATCAAGTAGTTATTTTTCAGATAACTTAATATTTTCCATATGATTATTACTATATTGACCTAGAAAAAGCCAAGGAAAGTTATTTATCTGGTTGATTTTAAATTTGTATTTTTTTTTTTTTTGTATTTAAGTTTTTAAATTGCAATTTTTGCGAAACATGATTTTCATGCATTTTTAAGTTTTTCAAACCTCATATTTTAATAAATATTAAACTTAATCACTTGAAATTTTCAGGAAATCTTTTTTCAAATATATACCTAGAAACTGAGCAAAAAACAATTACTGATTTTTTATTTATTTTATTTTAAGGGAACCATTTTAAGGTATTAAAATATGTGATGGCTAAGCAATTTAGGTATTCATAGCAACCCAAAGTTAAAAGTATTGTCCCCATTAAAACCGCAATCCTTAAATTAGTAAACAGTACAAAAATGGCTCTCAAATCTTTTTTTCTATGACGAGTTATTAGTTTTGTCCTGTAAAAGTGAATCTTGGCCCACTGTGCACTGTTCCTTATCACACTATTTAATTTTGAAAATTCTAACTTGACTGTTGAACAATAGAAATTTTAATGAATTTGCATTAAGAATGCGTAACAAAACGTAAACAATGCATAACGTGTTGCTTAAAAGTTTGTGAGTTTTTTAAAATCTTTAACATGACTTAAAGAGCAAAAGAAAAAATGCTGAAATTGATTTCAGTTATAATTTATGTCACCCTATTTATTGCTTTAAAAATGTTTTTAAACGTTTTTTAAAGAAATGTTGCTTTAAAACTGTTGCAAATCCCGCAACTTACAAAAGATTAGAAGCAACTATAAATGTCAAGGAGAGTGTTACTGTTGAAATGCCACGCAACACTTAACAATTTTGTACCACTCGCTATATGTCGCTTGACTGATAAAACCTATTAGTGTCCGCAACGAAAAAAAGTAATATCCCATTATTTAAATTTTCATGGTTATTCTATGACTAAAATGTCTAAAATATTTAAAACTTCATAATTACCCAAATTTATGCCCGTGGTTTTGGCAGTAGAGGATAAATTGTTCACGCTTAAATCTAAAGGTAAATATTTCCTAGCAACCAGTTTTACTATAGACTTTATAAATGAGTAATTTAAGCTTACTTTTTAATGCTAAACACTATGATGATGATTTTCTTTACACAATGCTATTGTGCATATTGATATCATTCTCAATTGGACTGTCAATCACAATTGTTATTATTGTTTAAAAAAACTTTATTAGACTATTTATGTCACAGTTTTAGTGTTCCGACTAAGGATTAGAGCCACGTTTTACCGTCTTTATGTTTATTAAACCTCCTTGGTTCCAACCAAGCTCTTACAAAAATAGAACTTTTAATAAGCCGTGATGGTTCAAAAATCATTTGAATTCATACAACTGTTGTTATAATTTAAATATCGTTTATGTCCTATTATTTTATTGTGTTTATGGTTAAAAAAACCCTTCTGAAAGTTAGTAATTTATTCGTATTTCAATTTCTAATCACGAAAAAAACTTTTTGTTACACCAAAATATTTAATTTTGTTAAACTAAAATAAATGGTTTATAAGACAAGCGTCATAATTTTTGTCTTAATCCTTCAATATCCTTATGTTAAAATAAATTTTTGCCATTTAGTTAGCTCATAATAGGTACTGTTTAAAACAAGTAAAAAAAATTGGGTGGATATATTAGCCTTTCATTTACGTAAGAAAACAAAAAAAGTCACAGCGTGACTAAAATTTTTTGATTGATCACTACTTCGATTGAGCTAATATAAAATAAGGTATTTTTCAAACTTACAGTTCTTATTTTTTTTAGTTTTTTTTTAACTTAAACAAATTGCTCAAATTTGAAAGAGATTTTGCTTTTTTATTTAATTTAGAGTTTAGAAAAACATCAATTAGTTTTAGGTAAAACACTACAAAAACGCAATTTTTAATAAAAAATGTAAGCAAAACCAACAACTTGTATTTTTTTATCAAGAAATTATTTAAAAAAATAATTAAGATTTTTTTTACACTAATATAAATATTTATTTTTTTTACATTTTTTTGTGTGGTTGAAAAAGCATTTAAAATTGAATTTGATAAAATATTTACTTATCAGTGTTTAGAGAAAATTTACATAATGGAAGGCATTATGTCACATCTGTGACTTATTGTCTTCTATTTTATAAACTTTCTCTCGTTTATATTCGGTAGATAGACTAATATTCCGAGTACCAGATGAGTTTTTAGTTTAAGTATTTTGAATTTATTCAAGAAATATTAAGATTTATGTCAAAATACTAAGTGATTTCACATTTAAACAAATTTATTAATTAAAAAAATCTAACAGGAATTTAAAATCACAATTATTAACCAAGTTTCTGAAGCATGCTGAAGATAACCTAAAAATTTCAGGCAAAAATCATCAGCCAATATAAACATATTACGTTTAAAAATTATTACTAAAATTAATTAATGACAAAAACACATTTTAAGATTTTTTCTTTTTGTTTAAAGGCTCTGCTAATAGCATTTTCTTTTTAGCAAAATAGTCTAAATTATCCATATTAACTCTGCCTCCAATTAGCTTAAATTTTTTAATTATGTCTTGTTATAAGAACAACTGGTTATCATTTCTTTTCACCAATATTGAATAATATTTGATAAACCCCAAAAGAATTTGCTGAAAGCTGGTTGCTGCTAACATGTTTTAACATACAATATCATCATTTTGTACCATACAATGCCGCAAGTTGCCGTCATCAGCCAAGGCAGGACCCTAGGCAAAAATATTTACCTACATCTCTTAGCTGCTAATAAAGCACACAATGAAATAATATATGGGGCTTTTTTTAGCTTGTTTTTTTCTTTCTCGGTCTTTAAACAAACTTGGGCTTTATGTCAATATACCACTTGACCCCTTCTCTTTGTAGTTGCCAACATCCTAACAACATTATTGTTAGCATTACTCCATACAGACTACCTTCTTTGACATAATGAAGCACTGAAGTATTGCTCTTCATGTGTTCTTTAAACCTTTGACCATTGGTGCAATTATGCAGATGTCATACGGACATGTATAAAGAAGGTTGAAAAATAAAAGGAAAAATTTGATCATTATAAACGAATTCTTAATCATACGCTATCACATCAGTTATAATTAACAACTTCCAATTAAATCATAGATTCAGTTGAAAGTTTCTTTGAAACGTATGCATTTTACATCTTTTATGTTTTTTTTCTGTTATATTGCATATAAAATAGTTATTTATTTTCAATATTGTATTGAATACTTTTTGTTGATTACCGTTTTATACATTTTTTTAAACTTGAAATTGTTTGTGTATAAACTATACATGTTAATGCAAAAGCTCAAAAAAAATGTGGGTGCGTGCGTGTGTTTAAAAAGTAGCATTTTTATACAAGCGATTAGAATCAAAAACTTATTTAAAATGCTGTTGAACCAATTTATAATAAAATAGGCGAAAGATTTTAAAAACAAATAAAAGATATTGTTTTATACAATAATTGAAAAAAAAAAAATTAATTAAGGAGAAAAACTGCAATACGATTAATATGATGATAAATCGAGTAAACAGGATATTTTTTGTATAGAAACATTACTTGCTAGTATGTATATATATATATATATATATATATATATATATATATATATATATATATATATATATATATATATATATATATATCAACATCAGTGATGATAAAGAGGAAATATGACTCAGTCTTATGTCACTGGTATGTGTGAAATAAATTTTTTTTAATAAATTTTCTCAAAAGCAGTATTCAATTTTATATAAAGATTGTTTAGTCAGTTTTATCAAATTAAAACGGAATAATTTTTGCATTAAAACATTTTTTTAGTCAAAATAGTTACAAATAGACAGTAGAAAAAGTACCAATTATTTTTTCTCTTTTTCAAAAACATTGGAGTTTTGTGTTTGTGAAACGAGTAAATTACTTTCCCTAGTTTTTTAACATTTGTTTTAGCCACATACTTTAATAAAAATTAAACTGATTCATAGCAAATTTATTTAATGAATTTATTTATTTTATTTTAATGCTAAGAACACTATCTAAAACATCTCTAAACTATTAATGCAAAAATAATAACATTATTGTCAAAGGTTGTGAAATAGAAATCTTCCGTAAATGTAGAATGAGTTTTTATCCAGAAATTCGTCTTATAATGATGATGATGATGATGATGATGATGATGATGACGATGATGATGATGATGATGATGATGATGATGATGATGATGATGATGATGATGATGATGATGATGATGATGATGATGATGATGATGATGATGATGATGAAGTGGTACAGGAAAAGGAGAAAAAAAATTGGTAAGGGAGGGTAGTTGCTAGGTTACTTACACTTTTTTGTTTTAAAATATATAACAATTATTTGTAAAATACAAAAAAAATAAAACATTTTTCACTAACCTTTAAAAAGTTCCTCATACTCTATTGCTCCTCAGTAGTTAATTTCAAATGTACTGGTTTTCAGTGTCTAAGTATTATTATAAGAAACTCCTAGTTATATTAAAAAATTGCTCTTTTCACTTCATAAGACAGTAACAATATTTTAAATGTTATATATGTAAATGGCTTTAATTGGCTATTATAGACCGCTTGATTAAATCTTTAAATATTGACCACCATTTAAATTTTCTACGTAAAAAAGAAAACACTTTTTGTGTAAATAATTCTTGTAGTAAGTGTAGAAAGGAAACGTATTTAATTGTGCAACAAAATTAAAAAAAAATTAAAGAACACGGTAAAAGCTAAATCTAATGAAACTAATTTTTTTTTAGTAAAAACTGAGTTATTGATTTTAAAAAATATAATTTTTAACCTTCAATAAACTTCTTACATAGTCAAACTAAAATGAGTCAAAACTTTGGAAATTTTTGATAAATTTATTAAAATTTAAGGCTCATTACTATGTTTTTATTTTTTTTAATTATTAAAAAAAATTAAATGGCTGCTTAAAATTATATCCATCAGTTTGAGTCCATCAGTTCAAGATTCTTTCCTATTTTAATTCAAGAGCCCATTAAGTGAGATCACTTTAAAGTTTTAAACGAATTTTAAAAAAATATATTTGGAAATTCTTATGACTTTAATACAAAAAATTAAATGAGATTGTAAAATTTTTTTTTATTGTAAAATATTTTCTTACTATATTGAAAATAATAGAGTGATATTTAAATCTGCTGCAGTTTACAAACATTTTTTTTGTCAAGTTAATCTGTTCAATTGCTTATTATGTTTGGATAAAACTTCTTTTTGTTACGCCAAAATCAAAGTACAATAAAAATCATAATAATAAAAAAAAATCTAAAGCTTTGCATTGTTTGCAAGAGATTCTATCTTTCAACCTAAGAAATTTGCATTGTTTGCAAGAGATTCTATCTTTCAACGTAAGAAATTTGCGGTTTTTTATGACTTAAGTTTTGAAATCTCTTATTTTATAAAATATTAAAGGTAGACAACAGTTTATAGTTTTGAATAAATTTGTTTTTTAAATCTATAAATAGATAAAAAAAAAAAACATTTTTACCAATTTTTTAAAACCTCTTACCTTAACGAGGAAAAAGATTCAGCAAAAGCAACTTAAAAGAAGTTACTAAATCAAGCAAAAGATAATTTTTTTAACTAATGGAAGATTATAATGAACTACTCAACATATCAGAGTTACTATAAAACCTAAGATCATAAAAAAAATTTACGTTCAATTATGAACTAGATCAAAATTTATCCACAGATTTCAAATCTCATTAATTAGCCTCCTTTTATTTACGATTAATGAACATAGGAAGTTAAATATTCCGCTCATTTACCCCCTTAAATAAGTTTAAATGATCGTAACGTTAAACGAAAAAGTTTATTGATGAAATTTAACATCTGTTGATGTATTTTGATCTAGTTTAATAGAACACAAAACAAGTTTTGAAAAATTTCATATACGATAAAATATGTTTAGCTACAATTTTATTTATGCTGTTAAAATATTTTCTGGGCTAAGTAATTAGATTATTTTTACTTTAAAATATGTTCAGCTACAATTTTATTTATGCTGTTAAAATATTTTCTGGTCTAAGTAATTAGATTATTATTTACATTAAAATATAATTAGCTACAATTTTACTTATGCTGTTAAAAAATTTTCTGATCTAAGTAATTAGATTATTATTTACATTTTGCATGTCCTATATCATTTTATCATACATCAAAAAATTATTTTCAACAGTTGTTCCTAGGAGGTTAGTATTGCAGTTTTTACAAGCTTCCTCCAAGTTGAAAGCTACTTTTAATGTGTTTGTGGTTGTAAGCAACATTTTACTCGTTTGCCAAAACTGACTAAAAACCTGGGCAATAGTTTAAAGAGCTTGTTCGGCTCAGCAACTTATTTTTATATTAACCCTTTACTTCACCAAATCAAACCAAAAATAAAAAAAATTATTAAATGTTTTCTTATTTACTTCTATAGTATACTATTTCATGTCCAAAAAAAATATTTATACTTTTATGATTTATTTAAAAGATATGGACATGTTGTTGTACAACAACATTGCGAAAATTGGGTATAAAAACAACACAAATTTTAAAGTAATTTTTGGAATAAAATCATGTTAAAAACAAATAGACATTAATGTAAATATTAATTTATATTGAAAGATATTTAAATTCCCATTCAAATGTTAAAAACTCTAGCTGTGGAAACAATAAAAACAATTGCGAGAGGTAACCAAACACAAGTGGAGTTTACATTTTTCACAAAAAATACGACTATACCCACACTTGCAATGTTTGCATCGTTGCTGTTTTTCAGAAAAGTTAGGCAAGTGACCAACATTGTCTAAGCAGATTTCCTTAGCTGGAGCATTTACTGCGCAGCGTTTTTTTTTTACAACAGGTGTATCACTTCTTGGTCTGCCTCGAGAAACTTTTTTTTCTCTTAATAAAGAATCTGCGATGCGTGTTTGGAACTCTAATAATTGAATTATATTTTTCCTGGGATATCCATTTTGTTTACAATGCCTTTTATATAAAATCCAACCATTCACTATTGCTACATTGATACAATAATAAATTATATGCATATACCATTTTTTTGTACCTAGCTTAATTCTATACAATGACATCACATATCACATAAGTCAACCCCACCCATATGCTTATTATACTGATGTATCATATCTGGGCAAGACACTTTTACAACAACTTTGTCTTTGCTAGACCAGCGATTAATTGAATCTCCTATTGATGGACCAATAAATGTAGATGCTAGTTGTACCACTCCATTATCCATCCAACGTATAACTGTTATGTTAGAATTAAAATCGACCCGGTAATCTAATGAGCCACGTCCCATATTTTCTTGTTCTTTTTTTTTAAACATTACTTTTTCAGCACCATGCAAGCGGTTATTACGAATGGTTCCAACAGCCCATATTCCATGATCCTTAAGAGTGTTAAACAATTTTATGCTTGTAAAAAGATTATCCAT